CTATCTATCTATCTATCTATCTATCTATCTATCTCTATATATATATATATGTATAATCAAATATACAGAGATTCTTGGTTACCTCGATGTTCAACGACAGGCCGTGGGAAGCTCACCATTCGTTACGTGCCGGGCCGGGATGGTGCTGAGCTGGAACGTTTGGTGTCGCATTTGGAGGCTCACCATGGCCCCCGTGTGTCATGTGGGCGTGGAGACTTGCATCCTGTGAAAACAGCCCGGGTGATGATTGAAACCCGAGCTATTCTCTATCCTAGAATTGATGATTTGATTAAATCTGAAATCTATTTAATCCCGAACTGAACATGTGTCTAACCCTGAACTGATAAACATTAGCCATGGGGCTCAGATCATAGCCGCGACATGATGTTGAGCCGGAAAATGATCCCAGGATCATGTGTTCAGTTGTCGGATTAAACGTTGGGCCGGAAACGCGTTCGCAGAGAATCTGCAAGGCTGCTTCCAATGATTGCCCTTTTGCACAGGGTAAAACCACAGTACGGGCTTGACCACAGTTCGCCACCCAAATGTGGGCCTAAGATGTACTGTAGTTCGGGGATAAATCAAGACAATACGATTAGAACATACAAACTGGGCAGATATCATTTTCTGCTACGGAGATGTACAGAGTTAGGAGTATCGCTCCGCACGAAGGCAGTGAAGTTGATCGTGGAGACCTGAAGGTTTGTCGCAAGCCAGGAACAGGTGGTGATCCAACTTGAGGAAAACCTCAGTCGGCCCTAGTGAAACTGGCAGTGAAAATAGCTTAATACATGATTGTCTTGTCAAAATTTTAAGATTGATCCCCACCCCTTCGCATTCCGAAAATATCATTGCTACGTCTTTCATCCAAACTTACATCCCGCGATAGATTGCACTTCACTATTCTCTTTGCTACTTGGGGCTGTTTGACGGGATACTTTGCATTTGGAAGGCACCAGAAAAAATGGGTTTTGAATGAACAAGGCCAACGAACGCGAAGCATTGCTTTGGAGCAGTGCGAATTATTGTGGTTTCCTGATTTCATCTCTGATGCTTTTCATGGTTTCGGCAGTTGAGCGCCAAGCGCACGCTCAACAGCAACGGAACCTATCAGAGACTTAGTGCATCATAGAGCTACAGCGGAAATACGGCTGCAATGCAGCTTCTGGTGGTGTTTGAATGGAAGCGGGCAATCGACTTTCAGAGGTGCGGTTCAAAGTTTGATTTTCTCAGAAGACGACGACATTAATGCCTCACGCTTCCAGTGTTGCACAAATGACGCTGACAGTCTTCGCAAATGACTTGCGCAATACCAGCAGATGTGCCTATCTCCTCCTGGTTTCTGTCATTCTGGGGAGGAGTGTGCGCGCCACCCTGATGGAGGAAAAAGATTTCGGGATTTGCCAGAATGTATCAACTGCACCTAAGAATATATGAGTCTATGATAGTTTATGATAGTCTATGAGTACCTGGTCCATAGCTCACAGCATACGCCTCATCTAGGCAATCAAGCGCAGGGTATTTTTTGTGTGGCAAGCGCAATATTTAGACGTGTGGTCCCATGTGGAAATTGGTGCACCGAGCAGTGACAACCGAAAGTAGTTGTGGGAATTTTCTATTTGGTGAGGTTTCACAAGGTGTGCTGGTCATTTCCCAGCGAAGCTATTGGGGTTCTTACTTCAAGTAAAAGAAGAGTTGCCTGTTTTGTGTTTTGGAGCTTGGGTGCTGGGGCCGCCGTGAATGCTGTCCGAATTGCCACAGCTGCGTCACAGTGTGAATTGGAGCATACTGTGGATTGCAAGAGGAGTGTCCATATGGGGAAAGCTGCAAAGTATATGAAGGTAAAATATGCATGGTGATGTGGAGTGAGAAGTATAGCGCTTTGAGCGTGGAGTGTGAACTGTGGTGTCTTGGAGTCTTTCCTTTGCTTGTCAGGGTAGCTGTTTTGTGCTTGCAAGTTATTTGGGAATAGTGAGGCGTGTTGAATTTGGAATGTGGAGTGTGGACTGTTGGAGCATTTCGCTTTGCCTGTCAGGACTCCTGTTTCACCTAACCTTCTATAATCTGGGCTGAGACCCCTAAGCGAATGTCTTGCGGAAAATGTGGCTTGTGGTTTCTTTTCTGCAGCTCATTCTTTTAGACAACGACGGTTTCACGACCGTGATTCTAGGCTGCGGTGCCGCCATGGGCCTACACAAGTGCACAGGTGAGGAGAGGACAGGTCAGGCCCTAGATGTGATGACGGAAGCTAGGTTCCATTTCATCAAGCTTTTATTTGGGATACTGTCTGTTAGTCCAGCATGCTGGAAATATCCCAGTTGTAGATGAATTAAGTTGGGAAACATGAGTGGTGAAAACCATGTCCAGGCTACATTACCAGGGGTGTGCACATATGAAACCAATACTTACCCTTTGCGATTGTTGGATGCTGTTGGTGGGTTTTGTTTTGCAATGCTGCTGCCTTGCGTGTTGCATGTTGAATCGCATTGCTCGCATGACAATCCGCTGCTGTGAAGAAAACCAGGTGATCAATTCTAGGGACGATGTCGGTCCACAAGTCGGTAGGCATATGATGTTGGGATGGAGGGCTAAGGGGCAAACCCCACCACGGACATGGGCCCTAACTGATGACCAGTACGGAGCTTGTACGCCAATCTAGCTTCACGCTTGGACATGTTTTAACCATATGACCGAGCGATGATCCTTCTTGGCTCATATTTTCAAGGGTGTGGCTCAACCACCATTAGCTTTGTTCATGGTCCATACAACTGCGTAAGTTATACTACACCCACTGGATGAATTCGCCATAAATGATGGTCAGCAGGGGAACCACCCTAAATTTTTCCAAGAAAATTTGTACCAGGACCTAGATACGCCTGAAGATTGGAGATCCTTCCTCAGAAGATGATGTTTAGTTGAGTCCTCCAAGGAGCAATCAGTGGGGGAAGCGTGGCCGCGACGATCGCAGAGCGCTGTGAGTGAGGCTGTGAGTCCTTTGCAACTTGGCCGCGGCTACCCAATTGGGGGCCAACTTTACCCTGCAAATCATCAAATGGTAGCTGAAATATATTGAAACACAAATCATTGGGTAGGTACACTATGTACTGGGCCAATCTTGGTGAAGGGTAGCTTCATCATTTGTTTCATGGGAATATATGCCGTATTATCAGCGAGCCAAACGTGGATCGTGGGGGACATCTAGCAAGATCATCCATGAATTAATTTTCAATGGGGAAGTACCCGTGTGGCCATATTCAGTGGGACCCTGTTCATATCAAAATTGTACGTTTTTTGTTTTGTTTTTTTTTGGCTGTTTATCCCTCCCCATTTATGGCCACAGAAGTTGTCAGTGTATCCAAACTATCGATCTCCCTGGTCCACCTCACCCAACATGGGCTGCCAAATTTGCTTCAGATTTCTTCAGAAATTTCCAAAAAGAATTCAACTGCTTGGTGGTTTGGAACATGACTGGATTATGACTTTCCATTCAGTTGGGAATTTTATCATCCCAACTGACGAAGTCATATTTTTCGGAGGGGTTGAAGCCACCATCCAGCTTCCAATTTCAGACATTTCCATCCTCAATGTTCAGGCTTACGCGATCAGTGGATCCTGATGCAACAGATCCAGATGATCCGCTGCTGACCCCGGAGTCGAATGATGGGAATGGCCGGTCGCAAAGTCAAAAGGACATGGGCCGAGCAGGGAGTACTGTCTTATATGTTTCTGGGGAAAGGATTCATGATGATTAATGCATGCAACAACTTCAACTCCGAACTTGGCCAAATTGGAAACTATCTGAGCTTGCCAGGAAAAGCAAGCTCACGTGCTGCCATGTCAAGACACGTCAAGCAAATGCATGAGTCAATTTCTGCCTTGGTTTTCAGGAGGCTTTCCTGCAACTCTTTACATGCCTTACTCAGTCGCGCACCCATATCATGTTTCAGTGTATTGAACTTTTCAATGCCGTCATCATCCATTATCTACAAAGAACTTTCAAACGGCTCACTTCATCCTTTGAAGCAATCGCTAACTTACAGATTGTCTATGATTGAGATTCCACATGGCAGGAGCACCGCCTTTGTCTCAGCTGGTTTCAGCAGGTGGGGGGGTCCCATGGAGTTCCCAAGCGTTCCCAAGCTTGTGGGGGATAGAGTGCATGCTCCAAACGGATGATAGTGGCTTCTAGGAATCAACAAGTCAGACTTTTTTTTTGCTTTTGGGATCTTTTCGACTTTTCAACAAGTTCGACTCGAGCTTTTTTCGAATTTGCGATCTTCGAAGAGCTTCTTGATTCGGAACACTGCTCTTGCTTTTGTGCATATCGAACTTAAGAAGTTTTTTCGGACTTTTCGGATTTTTCGACTCTCCAGATCTTCGGCTTTACATAAACTTTTGGGCCTTTCGATCTTCGGCCCCGTGAAAGAAAGGCGGGCAACACGCATCAATACACAATAGATATGCTAGGTGGAAATTCGTTAGATACGTGAGCTAGATACCAAAACGGTCAAAGACATATAGCAAACCGGTCAGATTAGATTGGGCTAGACTAGATTAGATTAGACTCACATTGAGATGGATGGATGGATGGATAGATGGATAGAGCAGGTAGGCCAGATAGACGATGAGATAGTTGGAACAGACAGTCAGATAAGATAGTTAGATAAGATAGATAAAGCATCGGTCAAAATAGAGATAGCAAGACAAGGCAGACAAGTAGAATTGTTCAACAATATTTGCACACACACAACATTTAGAAACAAACAGAAAAGAAAAATAGATACATAGACCAGTTGGTAGATGAAAGGATCGGTAGATAGATATCCACCCACCCACCCACCCACCCATCTATAGCATAAAATAACATAACATAACATGCATGCCTGCCTGTCTGCATACCGCTACCGCCAGGACAAATATGAGGCTTGAAATCAAAGGGTTTGTTCTGTTTTTTCCGGTCCCGTGTTACGGTGCTAGTTAGCAGCATATCCAAAGCAGAGATCCTCTTCAACATAGCTTATTGTGTTTTATTTGGAGAACTTCCTTTTTTCCCCCTCTTTCCTGCAATGAACATTTCTGCCAAGATTTCCGTGACTCCCATTTTGGTCAAAGACCAGTTTTTATACATTCACAGCTCATAAAGAACAATGAGCTTTGTTGGATTTCTGTCTCACAGTTTCAGCAATCCTTTCCCAGACCATGATGGTTCATTCTCCTTTCCTTGTGTTTGTTTCTTTTTCGCAAAAGGAATGCTGCCGCCGACATGTAGTTCGCCAAGAGCTGCATATCGCTGGAAAAACATGTTTACGCAAATATAGATATAAATAAATAAATAATCAAACAAATATATATATATATCTATAATATATCGTCCACACATACAGCCAGACAGACACAGACGCATATACATTTACTAATGCATACACGTATACATACGCATATGCACATATATATATGTAAATATATTGAAACAGTATATATATATATATATGTACACATATGTATGTAATGTATGTATGTATGTAATGTAATGTCATGATATGTAATGTAGGTATGTATGTATGTATGTAATGTGATGTGATGTGATGTCATGTGATGTAATGTAATTCAATGTAATGTAATGTAATGTAATGTTTTGTTTTGTATCTATGTACTGTACGTACGTATGTACGTACCTATGTATGCATGTGTGTGTGTGTGTGCAAGTTATGGTATGTACGTTTGCATGTATGTGTGTATGTATGTAATGTAATGTAACGTAACATAATGTAATATAATGTAATGTAATGTAAGTATGTATGTATGTATGTATGCATGCATGCATGCATGCATGTATGTATGTATGTATGTAATGAATGTAATGTATGTAATGTAATGTAATGTAATGTAATGTATGTATGTATGTATGTCATGTAATGTAATGTTCTGTAACGTTATGTCATGTAATGTTATGTTATATTATGTTTTGTAATGTAATGTAATGTTATGTTATGCTATGTTATGTTTTGTTATGTTATGTTATATTATGTTATGTATGTATGTATGTATGTTTGTATGTATGTTATGTATGTTATGTATGTTATGTATGTTATGTGATGTATGTTATGTTATGTTATGTTATGTTACGTTATGTATGTTATGTATGTTATGTATGTTTTGTATGTTATGTATGTATGTGATGTAATGTAATGTGTATGTATTGTAATGTAATGTAATGTTATGTTTTGCTATGTTATGTAATGTAATTAATGTATGTATGGATGCAATGCAATTAATGTATGTATTGATGTATGTATGTATGTATGTATGTATGTGATGTAATGTTGTGTGTATGTATTGTAATGTAATGTAATGTTATGTTATGTTATGTTATGTAATTAATGTATGTATGCATGTAATGTAATTAATGTATGTATTGATGTATGTATGTATGTATGTATGTATGTATGTATGTATGTATGTATGTATGTAATGTAAGTATGTGATGTATTTGATGTATTGTGATGTACTGTTATGTATTGTTATGTATTGTTATGTCATGTTTTGTATTGTTATGTATTGTTATGAATTCTTGTGTTTTGTTGTGTATTGTTATTTATTGTTTTGTATTGTTGTGTATTGTTTTGTTTTGTTTTGTATTGTGTTGTATTGTTATGTATTGTTATGTATTGGTATGTATGTATGTATGTATGTATTGGTATGTATGTATGTAATGTAATGTAGTTTAATGTAATGTAATGTAATGTAATGCAATGTAATGTAATGTAATGTATGGTATGTATGGTATGTATGGTATGTATGTATGGTATGTATGTATATATGTAATGTATGTATGTAATGTATGTATGTAATGTAGTGTAGTGTAGTGTAGTGTAGTGTAGTGTAATGTAATGTAATGTAATGTATGTATGTATGTCATGTAATGTAATGTACTGTAACGTTATGTCATGTAATGTTATGTTATATTATGTTTTGTAATGTAATGTAATGTTATGTTATGCTATGTAATGTTATGTTTTTTTATGTTCTGTTTTGTTATGTATGTATGTATGTATGCATGCATGCATGCATGCATGTAATGTAATTAATGTATGTGTTGATGTATGCATGCAATGTATGTAATGTATGTAATGTATGTAATGTAATTAATGTATGTATGTATGTATGCATGCATGTATGTATGTATGTATGTTTGTTATGTATGTATGTGATGTAATGAAAGGTGTATGTAATGTAATGTAATGTACTGTACTGTAATGTAATGTAATGTAATGTAATGTAATTAATGTATGTATGCATGTAATGTAAGTAATGTATGTATTGATGTATGTATGTATGCATGTATGCATGCATGCATGTATGTATGTATGTTTGTATTTTACAAATGCGATATACATGTTTTTGTGCACTTGAATCCAATCTATCAGAATCTGACCGGCTGCAAGTTGATTGCCTTTGATTCTTTCAAAAACCTTATCTGGGTTTGCTGTTTGCGCCTGTCCACCCAGGCGCAGGTTATCAATGTCAATGACGTGGAAAATGACAACAGCGAAGAGTCGCTGAGATTATGTCCTTTTGAAACAAGTGCCAACTGAATATCGACGAACATTTTCTCATGTAGATTTTTGTGTTTTTTGGTATTCTTGGTTTGCACAGCTGCATGTCGCTGCTACAGCTACAAGGTTCCAAGAAAACATCACCTTTTTAGGCCGAGGTGCTGTGTGAGGGTGGGCTGGTCGTTTGTTTCGTTTTTTTGGAAAACATCTGCGGAAAATTGCCGATTTGTTTTCTTGCAGTGCCCCAACATTTTTCGTGTTTTCGTGTTTTCCTTGGTCTATTGAATCCATTGGCCCAACGATGTACAGCAACACTGGAGGTCGCACCTTGCTACGGACCCGCCCTTGGCTCTTATATGCGGCGTTGGGTTTCGTGTTTGCAGGACCATTTTCGTATTTTGCCACATTGGCACGTGGAGGTGGTTCATCCACATCGCCAAATTTTACGATGTTTTTTTAGCTGAACTGTGTTACGGGGTTTTATCTACCACTAAGTTTAAGGGTGAAAATTTCAAACGGAATCAGGATGTTTTGCATTTTCGCCCTCTGGTGTCAATGCAGGACTGATCTTGCTTCATGCTTTTAGCTACGAAGGCGCCCCAAGTGACAAAGGGTCCACGTATTATTTCAGACGGTTGGAAAGGAATTGAGACGATGAGTCATGCGTGGTATTTTGATGTAATTATTTAGGACATTTTTGGATCAGAAATCACTTAGGGTTTATACTTGGTACTTAGCGGCTTAGCGTCCTCCGTCCTCGGCAGGCACTCCTGAGGAGAACTCAGATGTCTCGAGGTTTGGGCCAGAATTTTGGTACCTTGAGAGGAACATCAACATTTGAAAAACATGGAAAACTTCAGATTAGGGCGGCACCATAGCTGCACCATAGCTGCATAATGCTGCATAGCTCAACAAAGAGCATCCACCAGATTTTTTCATGGACGAATCAGCAGTTTCGCACATCCCCGGCCTGGCTCTGCTTTTCACGACAGGACGAATGTCTTGAATCAAAAGGAAACACCTCCCAAGTTCTGGCTCATGTGCATGGGCCTTGGAACCAGTGGATGGCCTTGTGTCAGTCCCGATACATGTGGAATCCACTGGATTTCTTCAGATGGCTTTGAGACCTGAGGACATGTAGAGGCTGTAGAGGTATGAAGCCTGTAGCCACACGCTGGCCGGAAATTGGCTTCAACATGGATCATGCGACATTCTCCCACAGGAAATTCCAAGCGTTTGCTTTTCACCGCAGATTTGCGTTCGGTCTGTCTCAGATCTTTTGGATCTGACATGTGACACTTTGAGATATCATCTAAATTCATCTAATATCAGTAATATCTATGTGTTTTTTCATGCCAAAATTCTGCCTCAAACAGGTTGATTTTTTTTGGGAAGCGGTTTCGGAAGCGAGAGGGTCAGCTCCCGCTGCGAGGTCCCCGGGATGGAGAGTGCGTTTGGTTTCGGAAGCGTTTGCCTCAGGATTTTTCGCCTAAAAACAACGGTGCAACAAAAACGGGTGTCGAAAAGGGGTGAAATGTCATGAAATTCACCATGAAATGCCCTGAAAACGGGGCCTACTGAAGATGCTACGGATGTTCGGAAAGCATTTGTTTGTCGGCCAGGGCAGTTTTGAATGCTGTTTCTTGTGGATTGAAATCATCAAAGTCTGGTGTCTTGTTTAGGAGTTAAAAGGTCATAGTAATTCGACATAAACTCTGCAGACGGGTAAGTTCTCAGTGTTTCTTAGCTTGCATTTGCAAGGAGCAGTGTGTCTGGACATTTAAGAAAGATACCAATTTCGAATGGCTGAAGACGTGCCCTGTTTGAGGCCTGGTACCGACTGGATCTACAAGTCCTTTGAGCGCAACGCCTGGGACGTATCCAATGAAATCGATGACCAGGTAAGATGTCAATGATGTCAATTGTGTTTATTCTTTTTCCCCACCTGCCAAGTGAGGGTCTCTAGATTTTAACAAAGGTGCAACTCCCTTCCTTCCTTCCTTCCTTCCTTCCTTCCTTCCTTCCTTCCTTCACTCGCTGCCTTCACTCCCCTCCTCCTGCTGCACTGTGGACTGAGCGCCGGACACCATATCGCGAGCTCCAGATGCTGTGGAGTGCGCCTGGACTCGAACACATGCCAGAGAGAATGCCAGAAAGAAGGCCAAACAGAATGTCAGAATAGATGCCAGATAGAACGCAAGAAGAGAATGTCAGAGAGACCGCCAGATAGAGTGTCAGAATATATGTCAGAGTGGTTAGCTAGCACGGGATAGCTCGAAGTAAAGAACTGAGGATTCCAGCACGGATATCATTGCTGCATCACTAGCCATCCGGCTGCCAGATCTACCACCTGAGAGCCATCCCACAGGTTGACGTGGGCACAGGGGGGGTTGGGGGCGCTGTCATTCAAGTGTCATTTCAAGGAGGGGTTCAGAACCTGACATTCAGATCATTTTGTTCTTAAATGTGCATCTTTTTTTTTGGAAGGTGTTGCAACTGCCAAAAAACCGGAAAAAATCTCACGGATCACGGCAGAGGACCTTTGGAATTCAGTTCGCAGTAAATGGATACAAAGGTCAGCGGCCCGGCCATCTCTAGACGACGGTTGGAAAGGTTGGAAAGGTTGGAAAGGTTGGCCACTATAACTGCTCTGGCAATGATTATGAAATCCGACAAAAACACCCGTTTTTCACGAATTCTTGAAGTTAAAGATAAGCACAGATAGAAAATATACACCTGTATATAGCTGTATCAGATACATATACAGTACACAACTCAACCAAATGTAAACAATGCTTGGATTTAAAGTCCCGTGTCCCATGATCGGCTGTATGGTCCCTTGCATCCGCCGGAAACACGAACTAAGTCCACCGCACTTCAAGGGCAAGCCGGTGACTTTACCAGTTTGGAGCTCAGCGCAAGCACCGCCGGGAGTGGGTATGTTGTGATGCCGAAGCCGAATGATGCCGAAGCCCCATCGATGTTGACAACGTGCACTGTTGATATCTGTTGATCACTGCACTGTTTTGGATTTTTCCAGGACTTGGCCGCATTCATGCGCGAGACCTTGCAACGAGATCCTTTTTGGACAGGTGGTCAGAAGGTACCCTGGCTCGACCTACGTGGAGGCGTGTCATCGGTCGACTGTCCACAGCATGTTGATCGGAAGAAAGCCCGTGTTTTCACAGGTGGTTCAGGAGCCAGCAGTCAGAAGCAGGCCCGGACTTGGGCATCACGCCAGATTCCACAACAAAATGAAGAGATTCACGCGATGCATAGGAACTAGTGTATGCCATATATGCTGTGCAACCAGCCTTACAACTTATAAGATCTTTTTTTTGGGGCCACTAAAGTTAAAGTGTGCTAAAGTCAAATGGTTGGCCCAGTAGATAGGTGTGGACCACACCGTGTGGATGGCAATTAGCACTGTAGTAACTCAAGGCAGTTTTTTGAACATCTAGTAGCACGTGGGGCTGAAGTGCAACAACATTGCAGCTTGCTCAAGCGCTTGCAATCCTGATGGCGGATAGCTGCAGACAAGAAGCTGTTGCTCTAGATGTTGCATTTCTTTTGGGGCGGCAACTGGCAGGTGTTTACTTTGTTGCCGCTACGTTGGTTGCTTGTACACTTTTGGCCCCAACCAATCGGCAGAGCCCAGAGGCCCCCCAAAACCATTCCCCTTCCCCTTGCAAAGAGATTCTTTAGCGGAAGAAACACAAATTTAGTCATATCCCTGCAAAAGGACATGAGTGGCCAGTACATCCAACAAGATAGATTCCAGAATATGGGTTTACCTATGATTCATTCAGTAGCCAGCCAATTCATGCTGAATATCGCCATGTGAAAAACGCCCACAGAACCTCGCCACATAGCCAAATCATTGCAGATGATCAAGGTAAGGAAACGCAACCGCCCCGAAGTTCATATCTTGAACAGAACTTGAAGCGTCCCATCTTGAAGAGGCGGCAGGCCATATGATCTGATGTTTGCTAACACCTGTCAGCAATGAATCAAATGATATGGGCCGTTGCCGGAGGCAGTGATCATGAACCAAAGGCAGCTGGCATTCATCGTGATTAACCTCCTCATGGACAATCATTTGCAGGGTGTACGCACAGGCGCGCGGCCACGGGATTTCTGCAGGTACGCGCACCCTCTGGTAAACATACAAAATACTATGGAAAATCACCATTTTTCATGGGAAAACTCACTATTTCTATGGCCATTTTCAACAGCAAACCGTTAAATTACCAGAGGGTAGGAATGTGAAGCAGTCCACAATGCTCTCAAGATCCGAGGAAGGACACAGCAGTCGAATGACATGATTTTTCATGCTGCGCTCAATTGCATCCTCATATCCAAGCTTGAGCTGTTCAGGGCTTACATCTCTGGTTGATGAGTGTTACTGCCACATTGTTTTGCAGCCTATTCCCTTCCACGCAGCCAGAAGGTATCAATAGATTGGTGTTTTTTTGTCGTTGCTACTCTGCAAACGCACCATTGTGCCACATGCTCAGCCGCTGAGCTACTTGAAATCTCAACGCCGAGCAGGTCTGGATGCCGCTATTCAGCGTTGCAACAAGGAGTCTGATTTGGAAGCAGGTGCCAGCTGCCAGGAATCACCGGCGATATCATCTGCAAAATAGACCCACTAAGCAAAAGCATTTCTTGGGTGCCCCTGGGCAAGGCTGGCTGGGCTTGGCAGTTGGAAAAGGATAAAAAGGGTGTGAAACTATGCTCGTTAGCCATCCTTAGGACTGGCATTTGTTCCTGACAAGTGCTGAAGAAAAACACCAAAGGGCCAAAGCCTATTGACCATAGAGTTGACGGCAACTGGCCCTGGCAGTAGCAGACATTGCAGAATGCATCCAGATCACTATTGTGAGCAAAGCATCAAACATTTCAAACATTCCAAATGTCAAGAGAATGTTTTTTTGGGTCCATGGGGCTCCCCAGGGGTTCCCCATTGGCCAGGTCTTTCTCCAGATATGTTGCACTTGATCTTGGCGTTCCTAGCAACCCTCTCTCAAGAATTGGGGAACACAGCGCAACTCTCAGCGAGATTTTTGGGTCATCCCTGAGGTTCACAGAATGCGGGATCCACAGGGTTCACACGGCATAGGTTCGATGTTGTTATCTATGGATATCTGCTTGGTGGTTTCAAACATGAATTATATTTTCCATTTCATATATGGGATGTCATCCTTCCCATTGACGAACTCCATCATTTTTCAAGATGGTTATTGCACCACCATTTCAGATGGTTATTGCACCACCAACCAGTGGATATCTATGGTATGTGTTGCTCATTATTCCATGTGCCATCCCATCTAAGGATGGACCTTACTTGGTCGGCACAACTCCGGGAGCAGTGAATGAAGCCTGGCTCGAAAAGGTGCTTGGCCAGCACGAGGCCCCCGAGTCCTTGGTGGTGTTTGGCTGCGATGTACAGCCTACCATGCAGGGAATTGGACCAAAACTTCGTGAAGCATTGTAGATCCGAGAGTCCTATAGAGGTCCTACTAACTCATGCAACTTCCAGCAATGTTTTTTTCGGCCTAGGAGATGTTTTCGACCAATGAAGCTCCGATTCTTCACATTGCTCAGTTTGCTTTTATTGGTGGCAGGCTGGCAAGTCCATGATCCAACCCAAACTATGCAACACCGCAAAGTTACAGGTGTGGGCCCTGGCCACTGTCGAACTCAGTGTGGTCTATACCATTACAGATTTGAAGGATCCTATCAAGCGGTTCACTGTCCGCACTGTCCGTGTAAGTAGATTAAAAGGACACTTGGAAGCTTGTGAAGATGACCCGGTTGTTGAGGCTGGCACCTGCGGCTTGAAGGATTTTATGGCTGGGGGTACACCAAAGCAGGCAGAGCATGGCAGAAAAAACCAGCACCTGGCTTTGCGTTGCTTCGGAACTTCCAATGGCAGAGTTTGATTTGCGCAAGCCACTGTCCGCAATGGTAACACACCGACATTGGCACAGGCCCTCACCGACATTGCTGGCATGGACCGGTCGGGTGGGATCCTTTGGTGATCAGACGGGTCTCGCAAGGCTCTGCTAAAGAAGTGTAATTCCCAGAGCACATTGAAAAAATACAATGCAAATGGACGCTCCAACAGTTATTTGAGTGAGAAAACACACACACACATATATATATATATCTTATATATATATATATATCTTATATATATTATTTATATTATATATATATTATATTATACATATATTATAAATAATATATACTATATACTATATACGAAATAATATATATATATACTATATAATATATAATATATACAATATAATATATATACATAATATATGATATATATATACATAATATTTAATATATAATATATAATATTGAATATATCATATATAATATATTATATATGATATATTTAATATAATATACAATATAATATCATATTATATAATATATAATATAATATAATATCATATTATATAATATATAGTATAATACAATATTTAATATATAATATATAATATAATATAATATCATATTATATAATATATAATATAATATAATATCATATTATATAATATATAGTATAATACAATATTTAAGATATAATATATAATATAATATAATATCATATTATATAATATATAATATAATATAATATCATATTATATAATATATAGTATAATACAATATTTAAGATATAATATATACTACAATATAATATAATATACTATAATATAATATAATATACTATAATATAATATACTATACTATAATGTAAATATATATAGATATAATACAATATATATATATAATACAATATATATATATAATACAATATATAGATATAATACAATATATATATATATAATACAATATATATATAATACAATATATATATAATACAATATATATATAATACAATATATATATATATAATACAATATATATATATACAATACTATATAATACAATATATATATATAATACAATATATATTAATAAAAATATATATACATATATACTATACATAGCCAAATACTGTCAGATATGACAGAAACATCAATACTCTGTGTGGCGTTTGAAGACTCAGGAGCTAAGAGCATGTCTGCGCCACAAGAAGCGGGGTGAACCAAGGAAAAAATGACATACACAAAATAATTATGGATATAGGTGATCTATGGTGATCTCACTAGCACTAAAATGGGCACATGACATCATGCTTCTGCCTGAACCCCCCTGGCACCATTCATATGGTGGTTTCTACAAAGAACCGAGTCTCATTTTCCGGAATCATCACTGCCGGAATGAAACAACCACTTGCCACTCCCAAATAACGTAGACATACAGAGCCCAGAAAACTGAGATCCCCTCGTTAAAACAGACGCGCAGGACGTGGGTGGTGGTGCGCAGCTGTGCCGTGTGGCAAACAGTCAGGACAAATACAGGGCGCATACCATGTATACTTCATATGGGTATGGATCAATACCTATACATACCATTTTTAGGGGGATGAACATCCATTTACCAGCTATTTTGATGTTCACCAGGGGTACAAGGTTTTGACACACTGCCATATTTATCAGATTTTATCAGTATCAAAAAGATTCTAATGCATTATTCGATATTATTCACACGTTGCCCGACTATTGTTCAGCTGCCAGAGAGGGCCCCCTCAGTAAGTGATGAAAAATCCAGATTTTGGATGCTTCACAATATGATGATTGCTATAAGTCAGTCCAGGCTGTACACTCCTTAAAAATTGGGGATGAATCTTCCAGAAGTCGTGTCAACAAGAGCACTAGCGGAATGTCGCGGATATCAATTGACTGCGAATCCAAAGGTGCACCAGGCAGCTGGGATATGCTAGAGATTGAATAATTGGGATCAGTTTTTTTTCCTTCCCCTAGCCGGTTTAGGGTAACTCGACGTCATTCTGTAGTCTGCCAGTCATTCCCGCAAGTTTCAAGTGTCGCAAACACCGCAGCTGCAAGGAACACCTTCACTGTTCTTAGATGGTCTCGGACATTCTTAAGCAATTTCACTCCTTCATCCAGACTAGACCTTGTTTTCCAGCCTATTCTCCCCACATTTGTCTTGCCCGAAGCTCCCAGTCATGGAGTTTTTGAATGGTTTGCCGTGAGTGTCAGCAGGTAAGGTTTACCTTAAAAGTGTTCGAAGATTCTTCGCCTCCTGGCGGACCTCGCTCTCTGGTACAGTGCGTGTTGTTTCGCAGTAAGATGAACAACAGAAACCTGTGAAACCCATATAAACCCATGGTAAAAAACAATGAACACACATTAAAACCCCATGAGACGAGAAAAAACACACACCCATGACTTAAAGTCAGATATGTATAGATATGTGATGGCATATCACAGACTGAAATCACATGAAAAACACGGGGGAAACCTCAAGATGCACTTGGGTCCAGTGGTGATTGGTCGGTTGAAAGGGGTGTCATCTTCCATGTGGGAATTGCATGGAATTGCTCTCTGTATTGAGTGCAACATGTGAGCCTGATATGATTGATATGCACATGGCCCCATTGCCATCATTGCCCCCCCTAGGATGAGTCATTGGTGATCTTTTATCCGGAAGTGCGGAACCTCAGGGAGCAGCTTTTCTGCAGCGTCGCGTATTTCTGGGATGATGCGGGATGATGTCTCGAGGTTTTGGTGGCTTCATTCTTCGTGGGGAATGGGCAGATGCTGCCAGTGCCCTTCACCATGTTGGGCTGGAAGCTTACGGCGGAATTCTGCCAAAGTCAAAGTGTAGATGCACCATGCAAATCCATGCAATGGAAATGGATACTTGATACATCGTGATCCTGAAGCTAGTGATTATATATTGCGTGCGGCGCTGGACCATGTCGTGATTGCGTCCAAGCCGCACTATGCACACGGCACTCAACCCGTTATCATTGTGCGTGTGAGTCTTTATGTATTGGAAAAGAGTGAAGGCCACCACAGTCTTGCACAGCGCCTCGGCCCCAGGTGCCAGGAGGTACTTAAGGCACATCAGTCTGGGGCCTAGTTTTGGACAAAAGTCAACAACTTTTCGCTGCAGTCTGCCGCACCTGTGACTGCAGCGAGTTATTTTTCTAAGCTTTACAAAGAGTGTGCAGAGTTGCCAGTGGAATGACACGAGAGGAGTCTGATGCATTGTCAAATGTATCTCAATGGATTGGTTTAAGGGAAAATCTAAAGGAAACCATCGATTTTCCCATTAAATATGGGGCTTTCCTGTAAAATTTCCCTTAAACCAATCCATTGAGTATCTGACCACTTTCACATCACCACTTCTCTTTGACGTGGCTCCAGTGGACATGTCTTACCGTCTGTCAGACCCCATGACGCCCTTTCAGGTGGCGAAACTGGAGCAGGTCCACCATACGACAACTTATGCGGCAAGGCAAGAACCAGACAACCACAAGGGGAACAGGTTCTCTCTTGACTCTAGGTACGGGTCCGAACCATCATCTGCTACCGAGACCTGTGTTCATTTTAAGAATGCTCAGCTGGCGGTACTCGTGCAGACTTTTGACCCACAACCATATTGGAGAAAGTTGGGAAAAAGCAGAAACAGCAAATTGCCTGAAGGAGGAAAGTGCGTGAAGTGCCGATAGGAAGGGCTGTTGAGACAACTGAATGACTGAATGAGTCAGTGACCGACTGAATAAGTGAAGGGATGAATGCATGACTTTTGGGGAAGAAAGAAGAAGTGAATGATTTAATGGCTGAATTCTCAACTGACGGCAGGCCTGAATGATTGGCTTAAAGATCGAATGACTGAATGAATTCATGATTTAGACATGCCCAGTGATTGCAAAATTGCAGGGCATTGCAAAGCATTTAGCCAGCCTTCGCTTTCGCAGAACCAGGAAGCAGTGCCGGTGCGCCTTGGAACAACCACAGCGGTAGCAGATGGTACCAGTCGTGCCCATCTCTTGCCACGGATTTTTCGGACCCCCGCAACAGCGGACACACCGAGCCTACATTTGCGACCCCAAGAGCCGCAAGACCAAAGCAGGATGTGAACCGCAGACTTCCTACATCTTCCTACCTTTCACCCGACCACTCTGCCCAAGAACTCTCAGCAGTTGAACGTTAGATTGAGTAGCAAATTAGGTTGATGGGCGCGATCTGGAAAATGAAAGGTTGAATTGTAGGGCGCGCCTGAATGCTGACATTTGCCAGTAGCTGGGTTTCTCACCTAAACTTCCGCTGAAGGAAGGAATGGACAGATGCTTAAAATGTATGGACGGAGGGATAGAGGTATGGACAGATGGATGCACTGCAAGAGGATGAAAGATGTGTCGATTTCTGCGCTGAAGGCAGATACTCGTGTCAAAAAATTATTCCCAGAACAACAAACAATAGCAGCACATAGTACAATTTGACGATCAATCATATGAGTTGATGTCCAGATGTTCATCTGATCGGATCATAATCATATCATAAATATCTACCAGTATTATACAGTAGACATGTTGATTTGCTTGCCTCTAGTTCATTTGTGGTGCCTATGTATTTGAGAGAGGTATATATATATACACATGTATGTATACATATAATATACATATAATATATCAATTCTGCAAGGTTCCCCTATGAATTTACTGTCTTATTTTTCCTGCAACACAGTTTCCTAGTTGGATTTCTTTCTCTTAGTTTTGTGGTCAGTTCGCCAGTCTGTTCGCCAGGAAATTTTTCACCGACCATCTCTGGTCAGTTCCTGGGATTCCTCCCAGTCCGTGGCCCCGTGGCTGCGCAGGTGAGTGCGCCAGACTTCTTGAACTCCAACATAATGACAGACGTTGCGCAACTTGGTTTTCGTGAAAATATCTCCTGGGCTGCCGATGCAAAAAAGAATCCGGAGAGTTGCGTTGCTTTTTGTTGAATCCTGCACAGTTGAATTAGTTGAAGTATTACAATCATTGACCAGCCAGCACCTACCCAGTCCCTTTCTAATTTCCACCTGACATCCACGGCCAAGGGACACAAAGGTTTCGATGACTCCAGTGAAGATCTATGTGCCTCAGATGAACAGTTTCTGTGGACAGCAGTGGTCATCATTATGAAAAATCATTTTCATACGAATCATACACCAGTGCAATGGGGCAGCGGGCTAAATGCTGCGTTGGTTTGAAGTTCGATGTTGTTGCAATGGCAGAGTTGCAACGACGCATCATTGCTCGGCCAGCTGCCGCAGACTCAAGTTGTAAGTAACGTTAAAGATTCCTACAGAAGACTGGAGAGGAAGGTCTTAGAACGAGAGATTGAGTTGGAGATAGAATCAGGAAGCTGAGTGATTGATTTGCTGATTGGTTTTGTTGATTGACTGATTGAATGTTTGCTTGGTTTGAGTGGTTATGAGTGAATCATTGCGTCAACGTGTGAACGCACCGTTGAATAAGCAGTTGATAGAATGAGTCTAAGTGACAAGCATGTCATGTGCAATTTTGATAGATCAGGATGCTGTTGTTTCAACCAACAGATGAACAATGTGAATACGTTGTAAGAGTCAACGGCTAGTCAGTCTGAGCCTTGTAACCATAATTCAATAATTCACCCATATTTACACATACACTACAGAAACACTATATAACACTATAGACTATATAGAAATATTATAGAAATATATAAATATATTATATAAATATCTAAAAAAAATACACATACACACATATACATATATATATATTTTAAAAAAGAACTCAAGCCTTGCCAGTTGTCGTCCGCTCAGGACAGTTCGTTTGTGGCGGTGGCCTCCTATTGCAGCGATTGTCACAGGTCGGGTCCTCCGGGAGACCTCCGGGAGACCTCCGGGAGACCTCGGGACCTCGAGCCGGTGATGTCGGAAAGTGGAGATCCATTAAGGAATCTAATAATCCACTATAAGTATTAAGAATGGATCTCCAATGATGTTATAAATAATGATTATAAATGTGGATCATAATCTAACAATCCATTGGAATAATTAATTGATTCAAATCTTCAATCTAATAATGAAATATATAATTTTTAATAATATATTTATATATATATATGTAATTATAAGATGTACAATAGATACATTATTCACAAAAGAATGACATATCTTCAAGAATGTACTGATCAAAGCTTGATGAACGTAGCATTTCTACTTTCCGAGAATCAGAGCATCAAAGCTTTGCCCAGGGGCGAATGCTCGGAGCCTGAGATGTTCAACAATCAGTGCGACAATCAACGAAAGCACTTGGATGAGGAGACGCCGTGTGTTGGTGCCACAGAAAATGTGTGCCACAGTGTCGTTGTGTGCCACGTTGAATTTCTGAAGAACTGACTTTCGACTCGGCTTCTGAAGCACAAAAAACAAAAGTGACAAAAACTGACAAGCAGCGCAGTTAGCATCTGTGTGTGTGTGTTTGTGCGTGTGCGTGTGTGCCTTTGTGAAAAAGTACAACTTGCGATATTACCGGACGTTTCCCAGGAGCCTGTAATTTCTCGCACGAAACTTTCACGAAACGGCCATTCTTTTTCACAGACCCCCACAAAGTCTGCGAAGGGTTGTTGCCGCAAATGACCCTCTCGTAAACTAACGTAACTATGGAAAATCACCATTTTTGAATATTTTTGATGGGTAAATCCACTATAAATCACCATTTTCAATAGCAAACGGTCAACGTTTACCAGAGGGGATGCTCATCGACCTGCATTTCTTACTTCCTAAAAATGGCAACCGCTGGCGTTATGATTGCGATTCAGGGCGGATTTCGGAACATATTTCAGGGCTTCTTTGATCTTAGATGATATATATATATATATATGTATACTATAATTATATACTATATGTATATATATATTTACATATACATACGCCTTCGATGGGTTCCTTTAAGGATCGTAGGCCATTTCTCATCATGATTCATGTCCCAACAGATCGGTGATCACAATCAGGGTGTCACTGGCTGAGGGTCATCTTTTGGAATTTTTGGTCTTTGATTTGTTTCACTAATTATATAGATATCTTAATCATGTGGCCTTTTCCCAGGCCATGAATTTCTACCAACCTGGGCTGCTGAGTTGATCTGCCAAGTGAAACTTCATCTGAAAGTTGAAACCGTTTTCTCAATGGAATATTCGGCGTGATCTGGCGAATATGGATGAATATGGTCTGTTTGCTCGACTCTACTCGCTGTTGAGCGCTCATGCTGCCTGTACATTAAGGACCCTTGCGTGTTCTCACGACTTTGCTAGTGACATTGACAGACTCGACCAAGTGTTTTCCGCTTGAGCTGCGCCCAAACATCTCACTAGGATTTCATGTCTGTTCAACTGCGTGGCTGTGTTTCACATTTGACGTACCTTTCATGTGCCGGGGGAGCACAGCACATCATTTTTATGTGTGCATCCAACCAAGCTACAAGTGATGTGTTTGAAACTTTGTCGGATCAGCGCAGGGCACCGGCTAAACCAAGACGAGGTTTTGCAATCCATGCGTGTGGTTTTGCCTGCATGGTGTCTCAGATACCGATAGGGACGACCTACACCAACATCACCGAGGTCTGTTTGAAGTCTAGAATTTGATTTGATGTTCACGGAGTGCGGCGCGTGCGGCGCGTATGTGTGCGTGTAAGCACGTGTGTCCGTGTGAGCTTATGCCCATCCTAAAGGTTACCCAACGAATCCGCCATCCGCATGCCGGCAGGATGTGTCAACCTGGCTGCAGGTGGAGCAATCTTGATCCTTAGATTTCTGACGTCTTTCGTATATTTCACACCTAACACAGGATTCTCGTGCTAAAAAAACACAGTTTTTCGTTTGCAGGCTTACGATTACCAGAACTATCATGACGCAGTGTCTACGGCGTTTGCTGCAGTGGTCACGCAGATTGGAACTGGCACGGCCCCAAGACATCTTTGACCATCCTCTTCAATGCCTGCAGCCTTTGTTTATGTCTCGGATTCGAGGACTTTAGATTAACCCTCTGGTAAACTAACATAACTATGGAAAATCACCATTTTAAATATGTCAATCAACTATAAATGGCAATTTTCTAGCTATGTTAAATTCCCGGAGGTTAAATTCTTTTGAGAAGTTCATCCACTGTGCAGCCAACAATGTCTAGTGTGCCAGAATGACAAGACGAGAGCCGAGGACCATGGGGTGCTGGCTTGTGGCAGGGAGTTGGGGCCTAAAAATTCAATCCTTTTGATGGTGATGTGCAACCTGTGGAACAACTGTTGGGTGGCTTTGTCAGTGTGCAGATGGTCCCTTTAGATCTATCTTCATCTATTTTCTAGATAAAGTGTGTTCAATCACGAACTTCCTTGCATGAAAGGCCTACCAAGCAACCAAGCAACCAAGCAACCAAGCAACCAAGCAACCAAGCAACCAAGCAACCAAGCAACCAAGCAACCAAGCAACCAAGCAACCAAGCATATAAAATGCAAGTTTCGAGGGCGCATGAAACAGCGAAACAGCTCTTGACAAGGGTCCCAACATATACGCAGGCCCTGAAGAGCCCGATGCAAGGTACAGTAAAACATGATACACCATCAAATATCAACATGTATTAAGTGGTCTCATGTCTTTCATGTACGCCAGTTTGATTTAGATCTTGCTGGCACTGACATGCCGAGGATGCGCAGCAGTACTTCTTGACAGTCCGCCCCTGAATCAAATCTTATGGCCCCGGACTCTTAGACGTATCAAATTGTGATAAAAGAGGCAAAATTTGGGGCAAGCAGTCCCGAGGTTTGGCTTGCAACTAGTTTGCTTGACAACGTGCTGGAACCCAGTGGGTCTACCTTCCCTTCTCAAGTGGAGGTTTTCCATTTCCAATTGTGGTATGACCTGAGCTGCCTCCAGGTGCAGCTGGACTATTACATTTATGACCATTTCTGCGAGAATGCAGGTGCCAAAACTGCAGCCTGTGGGTGATTTTTTTTTCTGCTGATCCAGACTGAACCCGGCAGATTTTTGCAAGAAGACAGCGTGCTGCTGTGATGTCCTGTTCTTCAAAGCCATGGACTACGACATGATGCAAAAATGGGCAACACAATTAGCGATCTATATCGATATATGTTTTAGGTCCCTTGGTGTTGAGAAAAATATGAAACATGCATGTCGTGATATGAGTATGCGCCATATAAAAAAGGGCTCCGATTTTTTTGACGCCATGTTCAGGCAACAATTTAAAACAAGCTGGGCATGTGTGTTTTGATGTTCGTTGCTTTTGTTGTCTAGGTAAAGCATTTTTTTAAAGCCCATGGCTTTAGGGTATGTCGTGACACGACTCGACTGAAGGTCACCAGTGCTTTGTGCTTGGACAAAGCATGTGCCAGACCTGCATCCAAGACAGCGGCATGAGCAGCATTGCCTGGGCCTGGGATGGCCTGGGAATCATGCCGCACAGTTCAGCAACCGTACTGCGTGAAGGTTGCTGAACGGCCAGCTGCACGTTGAAGGAATTATGAAGTTTACGAAGTAGCTTCAGGGATTGCGTGATGTTATAACTTGACTGAGATTTTCAGTATATTTCAATATATTTCATGTGATTTTCAATGAAGAGAGTTCGAAGTCACCATTCTTCTTGATCGTGGCACTCAATGTTTGCTTCGGCACTGGGTGCTGCTAGCTGCCATGCCGAGATCAACAACCAGTACTGCGGTAGTCTTGGCGCACAAGGACTGGCTTTTCGTCGTTGCACCTTGCAGGGTGGATTGATGGCAGATTGCTCGCAAATTGCAGATTGTCAGCACTTTCCACCATGTTTTTTTCGGTATTTTTTGAGCCATGCAGATATGCTGGACAAGCTTGTCGACCAACCTGCTCGGAGCTTGGAGCATCTCTTAAGGTTTAGCGCATTTTGCTATTCAACCACCGCCCAGCAGTATACGTATTTTTCGCTGAGCGCGCAAAATCCAAGGTGGAACAGGTTTATTGGTTGGTGAAGAATGTTGGGCCTCCTCCTCATCAGGCAGCCACTAGGAGACACAGGAACTTGGGTGACACTGGAGCTGCGATTCGCAGTGGTAACCAGTGGATACCCTTGTGGTTAGAAAAGCGTGCTGTTGCTGATGTTTGAGATGGGGATTAGGCAAAAAATTAGAGTTGACCATTGAGATCCATTGAGAATAAAGGCCCCAAAAAGATGCCTCAGTCGCAGTGCTTTTCCAAAGTCGCGTCTGGCAGGTTTTTGACTTGATTGGCAGCAGTGTCATGTGAACATCTTCCGCGACGATCCCGTGCCTCGGTCTGCGCAGTGTCCAACTCGATGCTGAACTGAGTGGAATGATTTTGGCGGAACGGCAGCGCGGAACGGCAGTCCCCTGGATATTTCCACTGAATATTCCGATTGTTTGTGTAGCCTCTGGTTATTTAACATAGCCATGGTATAGATGACCCATAGAAATAGATGGTTTACCTATTAATAGCATGGTGATTTTCCATGGCGAACTGTTAAATAACCAGATGGTAAGTTTACTTATGCCTAAGTTCCTAACTCCATAGCGGGCGAATACTTGAACGAGAGGAAATTCAAAGAAGACAAAGTATCAAGTGTTGAGTCATGGACTTTCAGAGGTTGATGTGCTTGATATGTGTAGCAAGCTCACCAAGGTCGCACGTGCCATTGCCCAACCTGTCATCTTTGACACCAGTAAGTAGCGATGACGAAATTAGTGCTGTACAGTTCGTATCCAGTGGGATTGGATTGCCCCCAATCCACCACAACTTTGCGGTCGCTCCTTAGGAGAAATTCGCATGATCCTCGCTCAGTCGATGTTTGTTTTTGGAGCTGACATTGGAAAGAATCAGCCGGGCTAGAGCGGCTAGAGCCGCTGAGCCTGAGAGCATCTGAGAGCCTGAGCTGTGGGTCACAATCAAACAGACAAGTGACGCAAGTGCCGTTGCACATGCAGATAGATTAAGATAGACTTCGAGCCCCTTGGACCAAGCGCTTAAAGCCAGGCTTAAAGCTTGAGCGTCAGCTGACACTTCAAGTAGCTGAGCTTGGGAAATGGTTGGAGAGTCCCAAAAGTCGCAGGAATGTTTGATCCATTTTGATCCTATGCTTTTGCAATTTGCGAGATCACACAGATAGGAAGGTGATGGAACACGTGCCACTTTGCGATTTGTGCCATTCCTCTGTGACTTGCCTTGAACAACTTGTCGTCAGCAGCTGTATTCAGCTGAGAAAATGAATCATAATGAATCCCTGAAGCTGGCAAGCCACAATTTATTTGGTGTGTTGATGTTTTGTTCTCAAATCACGATCCATCATATTACATGATTTACATAATATATTTACATGGATGTGTGCAACATGCGACAACTTTGGTATTTTGCAAGGCCTAAGGGCTTTCTTTTTTTTTTCAGAAAATCGCAAGCGATACGATACACGCGTTGGACAAATCACAAACGAAACGCGGAACTCATGCTTTGCCATGGGCTGTGGAGCACACGGGTCCAAGCGATTCTCAGAGGCATGGCTTGGTTCGCCATGGCGGCCATGGGTAAACACATCGCGTGTTTCTGCTGACGCAGGCAGAAGTTGCCACCAACCAGTTGCGTGGCATTCCGACCACCAAAGATATTGAGAGTGCAAGGTGCATCTTCCCACGACAGTGAGTCGACTTGGTGGAAGTCCAAAGACTTGTACCTGGTGGGTCGTTTTTTCTGGGTCGTGTACTGGTTTGAGTTGCAGGTCGGAAGGCCCAGATGTGGCATCCGGAGACTTCGAACATATACTCCAGGCATGTTGAAAAGCGTGTTTAACTGACGGTTTGGTGGAGTTCCATGTTGTGCAACAGCAGCAAAACACCAAAATTGAAGCATTACACGCGCAGGAGACCCCAGATCACCAGTTTGTGCTAGGATAACACTCCAGGTCACAACACAGAACCACACAGCATGTAGGTGTCCGGATATCACAGGGTTTATTTTTCAAAAAGAATGTTTTGAACTTTTAGATCCTAAATCCATCTAAATCCATTTTTTGCTGCAAATGTGCTGATTCAATTATCTTTGTGCGGTCGCGTCAGTTGAACGTTGAAATTCCTGAAGGCATGATTCGCCCCACAGTCTTCTCAGTAGAAAACCAACATTTTCCGTATTTTTCTTTGAACAACATTTGAACGAACTTAAACTTACTGTACGGGTGAAGTAATTATGTGGACAAAGTGTCCTGCTAAAAGGCGTGGGATTGTTCCAAAGGTTTTTGATCAGGCAACCTTGATTTGTACATCCAAGTCTCCCTGAAAAACTGTTGCACATGTATGCCAAAGAAAGGTTCCTCGTTCTCCCGAGCAAAGTCTTTCTCTTACGAGTGTTGTAAATATGGTTTTGAGATGCTTTCAGTCTCAAACAATTGTGTCATGAGAAGGCCTTCATGCAGTGCTTTGGATACAGGATAGCTACACATCGACTGTGAAAATATGGTAGTGTTAATTCACTATGAATATATATATATTTTATTATATATATACACATAATATGTATATATATATACACATATATATATATATATCTATATCTCTATCTGGGTGCACTATAGCAAGGCTACCTTTAGCTACATCCATATCTGTTACAATATGTTAAAATATTGTGGAAAGATGACAATGCCTGGAGCTTAAGGTTAGTGACTGTTTGGCTGCAGCAGAAATAGTGAATGAACAGATGAATGGATTGATGAAATAGATGGATGGATGGATGGATGAATGGATGGACAAACCGCAACGATACAAGCAGAGTGAAACAACTCCCACCCCCCACGTGACCACACAGCCGACAACAGAAGCTGCAACACAGTCGGCCTCCCATTTTTCATGGAACAGCCCATCGTACCAAATGGCCAGAAGCCAGAGATACGACCTACAATCGCCAACCCCGTCCCCTCCCGGCGAAAATCTTCGTACCATGGACATAGGCCGGATAGGCGATCCGCATGGCCACAGGCCAGGTGTATGATCCACAACCCCATGGTGGTTCTAATTCCACAGGGGTGCTGCACCTGCCCGCAGGACGAATGCACAGCAAACCAGGAGAGTCCGCCCCCCCTGAGCATTTGCAAGCTAGCGATTGCAGTACATTCCCAGCAGCACATCAGCCCCTCCGCGCTGCTGTCATACTTGGCAAGGCAAGCGTTGGCCCCAAACACGACAGGGCTGAGGGCTGAGTAACCATTCTAGAACTCCCGGCCAGCAGTGTTCACAGCAGCATCCTTGCTATGCATGCTGTTTGGTATGGGATCAAATTTAGAGAAAAGCATGAACAGCAACACATGAGTAAAGCATATTACCCACATATGGACAAATGCCCAAGCCAAATCAATGCACAATGGCCTTGAAAGCCCCCACAAACACGCTCAGTGCCAAACCCATTCAAACCAATGTCAGGTCAGTATCAATCAGTGTCAAAGGCAGCGCGGCATCAATCAAAACGAAGTTCGGGTCAGGGGGGGACGTGCAAATGAACAGACCAGGGAGGAGTCGAACCTCCATGTTTTGCCGTGCGCTACAGTGTGTACACCGCGGCTCGCCGAGGAGGACGGCAGTGATTGTGGCCCAGACAAAGCATCTGAAGTTCCCGAGCAGTTACACATGGCACCCGCCAGAAATTGCTTTGAGCGCTGATTCTGAGGACACTCCCAGTCATTTGGTGCAACTGAAGACTTGAAAGATCCGCCATCGATCTCCAATGGAAGATCCTTCAAGGTTTCAAACTGATGGATCATTATGGATCATGATGGATCATTCTCTTGTGATGGTTGACTTTGCGGCACTCCAAGATCCAAACCTCATGGTTCTTTCTGAAGCCAAAGGTGATGGATGATATTGCAAAATCTATGCAATGCCAGCCATCATCTTCCCATCAGTGTCACTTTCCTCGTTCCATCTTCTCAAATATGGGCCAAAGCTGCAGCTAGAGAACTGGCAAAAGACGAGTAATCCTGACCATGAAGCTATTGGAACAAGGTGCAGTCACTCACCGGGCACTGAGTTCTGGGCCTCCTCAAAGTTGTGCAACCCGGTGATGGGAGATATGCGAACACACACGTGTAATCAAAAACACAGAAAGCTCTCTACGCCGTAGACTCTAAGCTGAAATTTAACATTGGTGCAATTGGCTTTCCTGGGCTCCGGGCTCTTTGGACACGTCTCCGTCGTCGACAGGATCCCTGGGCATTGAAGCTGCGATTCGCAAGCACTTCAACGCCAAGGCCGGGAAGAATTTCGGAGATCACGTCAGAATCAAGACCCGCTAAACGAGACATGACACTGGAGAACTTGCTGCGCATGTTGCCGATTCCACGATGAGGCGACGGAAGCTGCCCAGAACCACGACAAGGTAGTAGAGGTGGTGGTTGGCGACGCCCTGAAAAACCCAAGCTCCCAAGCTCGCCCGGCGCCCTCACCTGCGACGCAAGATGGTCGGACCTGCCGCAGCTCGTGGTCTACGGCCTCAAGGTCCGCAAGGACGGCAACACAGAGGAGGTGCGGCGAGAGCTGCACCGCCTTGGCTACAAGAGACCCCGCACCAGCCAGTTCCTGGCCGAGTGTAGCCAGTGCCCGAAGCCGAACAGTTCCTGGACCTGGGGAGCATGGATTTTGATATTTTCAAGTCGCTATCATTTAATTTTTGACCGGCGCGGACGACAATGACATGCAACGACAACATGATGATGATGATGATGAATGATGATGGTGAATGATGATGATGATGATGGTGATGCCGATCATGATGATGGTGATGATGATGGTGGAAGAGGATGAGGACGATGATGACGAAGATGATGAAGATGATATGAACAATATCATAACATATTGTAAAGCCAATTTAGATATGGACATAGCCAAATGTAGCCTGGCTATAGTGCATCCAGCTATATACATACGTATCTCAACACCTAAATATATCTATATACCAAATGATTACATAATTCAATAGAAACATATATTATATATGTATATTTCTTCAAATACATGTATATGTATATATATATATATATACACATATCTTTAAACATACATAAAACAGCATTTAATTATCGATATCTTGAGATGCATATATGTATTTTTGCATATGTGCGTCTTTTTTTTTTAAAATAAATCTTTCTGATTTATATCTTACTACACACATATATATATATTCATTAAAGTATATATATGTATATTAATATATCCCAATTTATCTTTGAATATATGTATATATATATATATATTTATTTAGATCTATCTCTATCTATATTTATATTGATATCTTCTCGAAAGACTGGCAGTGAGCCCTTTCCACTGTAGATCCCCGATCACACCAAATCGTATTGAATGCCCTGGAAACAATTTTTTTTATTTGCCGAGGAATTTGGGTTTGTACACTTGGATTCTACACAATTACATTTACATAAATGTAAATGGATATATAATATAGATATATACATATATACATATTTACATGTATACATATACACATATACATGTATACACATTTACATATATGCATGTATACATACACTCATACATATATACATATACATATATATATATATAGATATATACATATTTATATTTATACATATATATATATATATACATACACATATACATATACATACACATATACATATACAAATACATATACACACATATATACACATATATACGTGTATACATATTTACATACTGTATATACATTTACATGTATACCTAGTAAGTAAGTATGCATGCATGCATGTATGTATAAATGCAACCGCCACCTTCCCAAGTGGCCAACCCATTGTGGCAGGAACTGGAAGCTGCAAAAAAATCTCGGATAGATGCAGAAGCAAAGGTGACGAAGGTTCCTGTGCTGCCGTGATCTGCCAGTTAACTGTCAGGTAAATGCTGTCCTACTTGCCAGGTAAATGTTGTGAACACCATGCTTGGAATCCTGCTGATGTTCGCAACATCTTTTCAAAATTGTTTTCAAAAGTGGACCAGAATCTTTGCAGAATGTCCGTTTGATGCCTCGAGATTCTGACAAAAGTCATCGCACCCCTTTTCATTGAACAATTCACGAACACAAGTGGCCATCAATTAGCCATGAATTCGCCATGAATATATCCATGAATTCATTACAATTGCCCTATCGATTCCCCATTCCACATCAGGTTCTGGCTCAAGATGCAATGCTGCGAGAAGAGCTGGAGCGATTCGAGGTGCACAGCCCTTTCGATCACTATCCTGTGATCGGAACGATCTGAACTGGAAGGCCACTGCTTCTGCAGAGGCTTCCCGGTCTTCCAGGTGACTCGATCTGGGTGTTCCTGGATGTTGCAGATTGTTGCAGTATTTGTGTATTCTACTTGTTTGATCTGTATTGCTGCGATTCCGACCCAAGGCTGGATGGTCGCTGTTCTGTTTTGGAAGTAGAGCTGCGGACTTACGCGTCGACAAATGGGCACGCTTGCACTGTGTGCACAGCGACTATGCGAGACTACTGTTGAATATTCTTGAACCAAGAGACTTTGAACGGTGACCTGACTTTTCTTGAGCACGCAATGAAGTTTGATGAGGTCGCGTACATTAAGAGATGAATTGGCATCTTCAAGCAATGCCCACGACCAGCTTGAGGAGGACGTAGCACAGTTTTGTTTTGCTTGTGAGAAGTAGCCATGTTATATTTCAGTCGAACCTTCTAGCTGTCCATCACTGGCATTTGATCTGAATTCCTGGAAACTATCAGCTTCGGCATCGATTTCAATCTGGCTGCTCAATTTTGCAACGATGCAATCTTGCAGACAAAATTGGAGGTTGCGAAGCAGCTGCGAAGAGAGCTAGCAGCCAAAGATCAGAAACTTGCGCAGTGTGGAGCTGATTCCTTGTTTCAAGTTCAAGAGGATCAGGAAGGCATTTAGGATTCAGGAGTGTTCAAGGTTGACGAGAGCAAATCACAAACAACTCCAATCAGAGGGAGCATCAAGCCTCCTATAAGATAGTTTTGGCAGCGCTGGAGGTTGCAAAGTCAGCTGCAACGAATATCAGAAGAAGCCATTGACTTCCAGGCACAGCTGTTTCAATCTGGGCGCCTCGTATGAGGACAGCCAAGGTGGCATGAAGTGATTGTGGTGGCCTGCAGAGGCCCAGAGGGATTATGCACTCAGCGAACTGAAAGCAGCAAACCAAGTGGCCGAGGCTGGAAGTCTCGGGTCACTACGGTCACCAAAAATCGTCCAAAAATGCAAAATGAAGCGCGCTCGAGAATATGTAAGGTCTTAAGGCAGATTTTCAGGTGATACACAGCTGCTTGGAATATGCTTGGACTAAGAAAACTTGTGGGAAGGCCCTGAAATCAACTTCAACTGTCCTGGACAAGCGGCGGAAGCCGCGTCGGTGAGCTCCTCAGGATTGAGATCAATGAAGTGCTCAATGAGACAAGAGTTTTGCGCGTTATTTGCTCGGATTTTCCCAGTGATTTGCAATTCTCAAAGGCGCAAGATATCATTTCCAGTGAATTGCTGATCCTAAAAGGTTGATCTGCATGGCACGTGTAGATACCTTGGATTGCACATTTGCATGCCGGACCACGCTCACGCTGTCAAGACTTACTGTCAGAAACAGCAAGCAGAGTGATTGGGGGCTCCGTCAAATTCCCCCCCCGTCAAGTTGGATCACACACACACACATATATATATTCATATGGCTATGGATCAATACCTATAAATAGTATTTTTATGGAGATGAACATCCATTTACCAGCTATTTTGATATTCACCAGGGGTATAAGGTTTTGACCTATAACCATATATGGTCATTGATACAGTAAAACAATGTACTTCAGTCTCTCGAACGTAACCAGCCCCGACATTTTTGATATGCGTGGGCATGACTGCGGGCCTTTCTCATGGCGCAGAGTTGGGATCAAGGCTGGTGGAAAATTGCTGATCGATTGTTTATTGATGTATACATATATTTATATACATACATACCTACCTACATACATACATAGATAGATAGCTGTACACACACATATATATATATATATGTATATATATATGTATGTATATATATGTATATATATATGTATATATATATGTATATATATATATACATATATATACATATATATGAATGGTTAAATGTATATTGGTGTCCAAGACAGAACTTAGCCAACATCTTCCGAGACACATGAGCCCCTTGGCCTATGACTTTGGATTGTTCTCGATGCGAGGGCTGAACTTGTCGATATTGCTGAGCTGAATCTGCAGAATGGTGAACGAAGCTTGGTAGAACTTGAAAAGTGGTCAGGAAACTACTTATAGTATAAATTATAGTTGAAAGATGTTTAATGTTGTCTTAGATTTTACCTTTTTTAAAGGGGTGCATTCTCCGTGGAGAATTTGTGATTTTTGACCCGCAGAGACTGGAGCCTCAGCCTCTGAGAAGCGGAGCCAAGGCGCAAAATGTGACCTCTTTGAAGGCGACAGATCTTCCAGCAACAGTTGATGAGGCAACGCACCAACTGTGCCAAAGCGAAGCCAGCGAAGCTGTGATCGAAGGAAGTTTAGAAGTCAAACTTCTGACAATATGGACAGATGGAAAAGCAGAGGTGGCAGAGTCAGAGAGGAGAAGAGAGAAGAAGAGAGAAGATCAGAGAAGAGAAAGAGTCAGAAGAAAGAAGATGCAGGTGCGCGAAAAAGGCAGAAAAGTCGCGATTCACTGTGTTTTTCCAATGATTTGTGGTTCCGGAGGGTCGAAAAGTAGGCTCGCTGAAGCGGCGATTGCGGAGCAATCTGGCCAGATGAGAGATGAGAAAGTGCACGCCGTTGTGGCGCGAAGCACATTTCGAAGTCAAAAGCGTTAAAAACTGACAGGTTCGGACCACTTTGTTGAGATGTTTAAAAAGTGCACGCGGTTGTGGCGCGAAGCACATTTGGAAGCCAAAAGTGTTAAAAACTGACGGGTTCGAACCACTTTTTGAAGTTGAGATGTTGAACGTTGTGGCGCGAAGCACATCTCGAAGTCAAAATGTACAAAGCACACTACGTTCAGAGCACTTTTGGAAGTTGATATGTTCAAACAGTGTACGCCGTTGTGGCGCGAAGTCAGAATGCTCAAAACACCACATGCTTGCGCCACTTTTGGACGTTGAAGCGTCGTTTGTGTGGCAGGCGCCCGGGATTCTGCACCTTTCCAAGAGTGAGCAAAACGTGAGGGTTTTGTAGCAGGTCTAAAAACGATGGCAGGTTGTGACATTTGAAGAGGATCTGCAAAGATGGATTGGATTTGGCGTGGCGGGCGCAGTACAAGAGACATGTTCATCAGAGATGTTAGGCGGTCAGTGATTTCCTGTGAGGGGTTGCATTTTGGAGCATCAGATCGTCAAGTTTACAAAGATGATTTTGCGTCACAGGTGCAGCACTTTGTATGACTTGGCATCACTTTTTCGTGGCAGGCGCAGTACTTTAGACAGATAGAGCGGAAAAATTGCAAAAACGCATTGGTACGAGGCCGTCTGCGTTCAACTTTCCATTCTGGAAGGAAGTCTCGCAGAATTGCGTCGTTTTTGATGTTGTCATCTTGAAACATTGAGGAAGTCTTACAGAATTCTTTCGCTTTCGATGTTGTCAAGTCCAAGAATTGAGGAAGCCTCGCAGAATTGCTGCGTTTTGACGCTGTCAAGTTCAAACATTGAGGAAGTCTAGCAGAACTACAACTACAACTGCAACTACACGAGCTACACTACACTAATTGCAATACACTACGCTACACTACACTAGATCTGACTAGACTAGACCAGAATATACTAGACTACGCTACACTAAACTATGCTACGCTACACTACGCTACACTACACCACGCTACGCTACACTACACTAGACTGCGCTACACTACATTACACTACGCTAACTACAAACTACAAACTACACAAACTACAACTACAACTACAGCTACCACTACACTACTTTACATCACACTACACTAGACCACGCTACAGCACACAACACTACGGCACACTACACTACACTACATTACATTACACTACGCTCATTACACCACACCACAACTACAACTGCAACTACACTACGCAAATTACACTACACTACAGCTACAACTCCAATACACTACAACTGCAACTACAACTACAGCTGCACTACACCAAACTACATCCAGCAGTTGTGGGTGAGGTGACCACTGCAACCAGTGCAGCCACTCCAAAAAAAACACAGCTCCAACCACCTTTCGGTCCAGAAGTGGATTCGCTCTGCCATCCAAGCATCACAACAACTCACCTCTTCTATAGTGTCCTATCTTTGAAACTTCCGCCACCGCCTTGTGCGGCACTACTGGTATCTGTGGTATCTAGTGATATCTGTTGATATTTGTCATATCAGAATCATATCTGTTTTTGGATTTATGGATTTCATTTGATATTCAATATATTTCATATGAATTTCAAATCCCTTCGACAGCCAGCCCTGCACAGGCAGAGCTGCGTTTGATCTTCGGTCGGGATATGGTCTCTGTACAGCTCCCTCGCAGTTCCACAGGAGGGAATTGCAACTTAGATTTGCAAAATGTGACTGCAGAGCTGCCAATCTTTGGAAGTTTTGCAAGACATTTTCATATGTGAAAATTGCATCAAAATATCGATTATGATCCAAGGCGTTTTACGACTTTTGATGATTTTGATGACAGAAGGTGGACCATCGCTGACCTTCCTATTCGGACATCTTACTTTGAGGTGGATATGCCATTCTTGGCTTCGCTTCGCCTGAAAGTGCAGAGCGGGCAATGCGCCAGAATGGACAACGTCTTCCCAATCGGAAGGTCGGCGCATGAGAAACCACTAGAAAAAGGACCTTTTTATATTTTTTTCTAGTTCCTCACCATTCTTGCAACATTTTTTTGGATTTTTCGTTTCTTGGAAGTTTCTTGTTTTTTTATTGTCATTTTATTGTGTCCTTCTAACACCAGGTTGCTCTCCGCTTGGCACCATGCAGCACCGTCTCAGGCAAAGCTGATCATAGTTCCGACCATTGCACGAATTGCCCTGAGTGAATGCATAAAATACAGGTGTTTTTATGTGGGTGTTTCATGGTGTTTCCAAAAATAGGGGATCCCTAAAATGGTTGGTTTACAATGGAAAATCTTATTAAAATGGATGATTTACGGGTACCACCTTTTCAGGAAATCTCCATGTCGGTATAAGTCTTGTGTCAAACAACAAGAGGTCAAGTTTAGTATCAAGACTTGTGCCAAAAACGATCGCGAAGTTTGCTCTGGAACGTTCGCCGATGTTTCAAACAAGGGTCGCGGTGGTGTGAAGTTCGCGTCTCGAGTCATTCTTCCAGGCCGAAAACCATTGGCAAGCTACCAGCTTTGCGTGGGCAACCTTGGAGCGCAGGTGTCGGATGCAGATTTGTACAGTGCCTTCAGGTCCCTCGGTCGATTTGCTCAAGACAGAATGCTTGGGATGAATCAAGAGTACATGCATAAATGGATATAAATGGCATGAAAGGTGAACAGCCAAGATGCAAACGACAAACGCCTCTTGATCAACGTGAACTCTAAGAAGCTCGAACCTCCCAGGTCTTTTTCCGACATCGTGCTTGGTGCTAGAGTCATACTCTAAGTGCCACTGCTCCACTTTGCGCTAAGATTCGGGTCCTTAAACATTTGAGTCATTTTGAATGATTTTGTTAAGTATGTTAAGTGTTTTTTGTTGCTTTCAAACTTTTTCTCTTTTTGTTGCAGCCTTTTTGCTGTCAGGTTCCAGTTGACCATAGTGGACGAAACAGAGGCTTTGGTTTCATCAGACTCTCCGACGATGACGCCGCTGGGTCTTTGGCTGTCAAAGCACATGGGTTCTTGTCTCAGCTGCAGATGGCTTGTAGATACTTGTAGCAAGTGGTAGCAAGTGGTAGCAAGTGGTAGCAAGCGGTAGCAAGTGGTTCATTGGGGGGTTTCCATAAATGGGGGTACCCCCAAATGGATGGTTTATAAGGGAAAATCCAATTAAAGTGGATGATTTAGGGGTAACCCCCATTTATGGAAACCCATGGAAACCCGCATTTCTAGTTCGTTTCGTCATTTTCGATGTTATTGCTAGTGTTCGTGTGACACTCTGACTGCAGGTTCCAACTTTCTGGGCGAGCAGTCACCGTTCGCCAGTGCCTTCAAGCTGATGCTACTGCAGGAAATCGAACGTTGCTAGGTTTCTTCCAATGGAAACGTCGCTCTGCGTGCTTTCAGTGTGAATGATTTCTGGCACTTGCAAAGGTTTTTTTCTTCCCAAAAAGGAGCCTACCAGCTTCCACTACCACCGAGCTCAATACCAAAGAATTCTGTGTAATATGCCGCGCTTTACATGAAGCCGGTTACATTTTAATTTTCTCTGTCGCTCCCGAAGTCCCCTTCCTTCTCCTCTCTGTCTGTCGGTCTCCCTCTATCTCTCTTTCTATTTCTTTCGTTCTGTCTCTCTATTTTTTTTTCTCTCTACTTTTTTTGTTTCTTTCTTTCCTTCTTTCTTTCCTACTTACTCCCCCCTCCCTCCCTCGCTCGCTCGCTCGCTCTCTCTCTCTCTCTCTCTCTTCCTTCCTTCTCTCTCTCTCTCTCTTCCTTCCTTCTCTCTCTCTCTCTCTCTTCCTTCCTTCTCTCGCTCTCGCTCTCGCTCTCGCTCTCGCTCTCGCTCTCGCTCTCGCTCTCGCTCTCGCTCTCGCTCTCGCTCTCGCTCTCGCTCGCTCGCTCGCTCTCTCTCTCTCTCTCTCTCTCTCGCCCTTTTGTACATGATCAGATGATGTCATACAAACCTTTGTACATGACTCTGCCGGCTCAACATCACACAGCCCTTTATGGCCCTTTATGCAGCGTAAAGTCTTGCGGAGCATTCAACAAGGAACAGATTTGATAGACTCGGCATGAGCGACAGGTACAACACTAGCTTGGGCAGATCCACCCCCAGGCTTCACAGCTGAATACGAAGCATTGCAAGAATGGAAACGGGGTAAGACAAAAGTTTGATGGCCTACAGAAAGCACGCAGAAATCCAGCCGGTCGCATATTTGATAAAAGATTCAAGAGGGGAGATACACCGTGAGCAGATTACCCGCTTTACCAACTAGAGAAAAACAGTGTTGTCAGAAGGAAAAGCCGAAAAGCCCATCGCATACGGCGATACCATAACCACGGGAAAGTATTCACTTCAGAGCTTGACGCTATAGAACACAGGCAATAGAATCCGCTGTCCTTGCTACTTGCAGCCAAGGTTCATTAGGTCAGAGGAGAGACGCGACATGTGAGGCAGCACAGCAAACAATAATATCCCAGCAGGAAGTATGCGCGACAGCTTGGGGATACAGACAAATCAGCAACAGGACCAGATGACAACCATTTGACGCTCTTGAAGCGTACCATTCTTTGAGCAGAGTGGCAATGTGAACCAAACAGAACAAAAAGAACGTTCTACATTGGAAGCAAAAAATCATGTTGCAATTTGTTTCATATTATATAGAATGTTGTCTAGCGCATTTTTGACAATGCCACATCCTATGAGTCTACAAGACACACAATGGAAAGTAAACATGCTTATATGATGCACGTTTTCACCTCTCAACGAATGGCAAGGCAGGAACCGGCAGCACTGTGAGTAGCCATGCACCGAAGACAGTCTTGAAAGACCCAACGCAAGAGTCCTTCACTCAACCCCATATTCCCACAGAGCAAAAGATTTGGACTTTAGTGGAAACTCCATCAGTGACCTGCTGGAACAGACTCCAATACAAACCTGAAACAAGTACCTTGTGTAAGACATGCTTTGCTCTTGGTCGCCTATATGGAGTGTCTTTCCGTGTCTTGTAGTGGGTCAAGCACCTGGACTGCATCAAAGGCTGTTCGTCAGCAATTTGGAACCTGGTACGCGGGAGGATTGGCTCCGAAAGCTGCTGGGTGGCTTAGTTCAGTCTGCTTCAGGAGTCTTAGGGGATTGGACGAGGTCTTTGGACAGTCAAAGTTCTTCACCCCCCTCCGAAGCAATAACATCACGGGCAATTTAGTTGAGCTGTAGGCCCGGTAGGCAAACCAGTCGTGGACAAGAGCCAGAATGAGCCACACCCGACTTGCCAACCGTTCTCTGTTTTTTCCTGGAACCTTTCAAAGGCGTCTTTGGTGACTTGGACTTCGTAGAGCAAGGTGGACATGGAGGCTCTCAGATTCTGAGACAACATTAGGAATGTTAAGAAATGACCCACGGGTCACAGAAACCAGCGGAGCTAGCTGGACTTCTGGACTTGTTTTGTTTGACGATGGCACAATCCATTCCTACTCCGTGAGACGTCTGCAGGTGTGTTTGCCCGAGTTGGATTCAGCGAGGCCGTTCCTGTCTGGCTGAAGTTAAACTGAAGTGCCATGACACTACGTCATAATACGTCATATGTTTGTGTCAATCTCCAAAACACTTTTAGTTAGTGTAGTTGTGTAACCATTGGTTCCGGCACTTGCCAGGCTGAAGGTGCACTTGCAGCTGCATCCTTGCTCCAAGGTCGTGTGCAAAGCAGCCTGGGACCCAAATCAGCTGAAGTCGCCGCAATTGAGCTTTGTCTGTAGCCATTTTGGTCCAAGCTGCACGGCTGCCAGCTTCCACATCTCACCATTGCAGAGGGCACTCAAAATCCACCACGCTCAACAGATAGGTTCGTGAGAGATCAGTTCTCGGTTTTGGGCGAATGAATGGCGTGATGCAAGCCCCCAACGTTAAACAGGAACGGAGTCTGAAGATGGGCTGAATATGATTAAACTGGATTAACCCAAAAAATTGCTGATGCCGGCCCCCTTCGAAACCATACCACGCATGATGGCATTTTTGACAAGATTAGGTGGCAGCCCTGCTCCCAAACATGGCTCTGCCGCTGCTGGCGGCCAGATGGATGGAATTTCGCTTCTTTTTGTGATTGACAGAAGATCTGAAGGAAGCAATTTGCTGAGATCGAGGGGCGGCATGTTTGTCACGGAACTTCAAACATCCCTCCTTATGGTGGCCAAATTGTTGACCCACATGATTTCGAGGTTGTGTGCCTAAGCCCAGTGGTCTTCCCCCTGATGTTTTGGGGGGCAGCAGCGCAACGCTTGCCAAACAGCTGTTGACCATCATCACAGGACATGCGCTTGAACCTTGTAGTGGCCCTGGGGGGTAAGCTCATGCCGGTGACGGTGTCCATTAGTAAACGCGCTGCCAAGGCTCATCATTCAATCTTTTGGCAAGATGAAGTTGACACTTGTTTTGGAGGAAGGAGGGGTTTCACAGTTGACCAGTCCTACCGCATACAACCTCATCTTGATTACTGACTGACAGGAAGGGCATACTTGACTAGCGCGTGCACAGGTTTAAGCTGCCGTTTGGGGGCTTGATCCGTGTAGTGAGGCTTATCAAGATTCCGGGTGGAGTTGAGCTGCAGCAGGCTTGACAATCTTCCGGAGCTTGCCGCGAAGTGGACCTAAGCCACGCAGATCTTGCGACATGGGAGGAGGTGGCTATAGGAGCTTTTGTAGGTGAGTGATTGCGCGATAGAAATACGAAGCGGAGGCAATGTGTTCTGCAAGGCTATAGAGTTGCTGCAGAAGATTTTGGAACCGGGATCCCGCAGAAAGAAAGGAACAAGCGTCAGCCACCTATCAGCGTGGGTGGTAATGCCGTTCAGGCGAAAGTCGCGCTGTGATAAAACAATTTGGGATAATTGCCACGCAACGCAGCTAGTTATGCTGGAGATTATTCCAAAGCAAGACCTGCCCCCTAACAGCCTTGCTTTCTTTGGAAAAGCGGTGTGTTTGCGCACCAAGGCCATTGCACGCGTTGAATCTGTTTGCTTTGGCCGGATTGGGGAACGGCGCGAATTTTTGGCGTCGCTGATGTTGTAGTTCGCAGTTTGCTTCGTCGGCTGGTTCCAATTGTGGTTCAGTGCTATCTTGTTTCGATGATCCCCGCATTGCAAGATTGCGTTGCCCGGTAAGGGTGATAAAGCAATGCCCCGCTGTTCCCTGGACTTTTAGATGATGATGCGCAACACGGCGAATTTGGGGTTGCACAGATGAACATCTCTGCCCAACGTTCTCCAATGCCTTTGGATCCACATGCGGGCTCATGCCGGAATCTGCTTTCCATGATTTGGCTTATTTGCGTTTGTTGATTGCAGGGCTTCCTCAAAATATGTAGGCAGGCATAATGCACTTAACTCCTCCGGCTGATGTACGGCTTCCGTCAGCGCTTCAGTGTGTGAAGGAGCGGATTGCGAATGCCGCCGCTCTTACAAGTCCCCTGTGCCACAAACTTGCAGACTATTACATGCGCGAGAAGCGATGCACCGATGATTTTCGAGGGATGCGGCTGGCTTTCCGCCAACGCTAGAATAGATTCCAAAGACTTGATGCTTCAAGTTCCCAAGTTCGGAAGCCCAAAGGATGGCTACCTTTGCATCCTGATTTGGCCTCC